CCTTCAGCTGCCCCACACAGGTCAGGATCCAGGGCCCGTCTCCCTCCGGTCACCATGCTCTCTCGCCTCACTCCCTTGGTCCTTCCAGCGCTGGACCTGACTCAGCACCAGCATTGCAGGCATGAGAACCGCCGTCTCTCCTGCTGCAGGGCTTTCTCTATTTAACATCCCCCCCTGCAAGCCCCTCTCCCCATCCAAGACGCTGCATCCTCCCTGACAGCATTGTGCACTAATCCGATCTGTGCATCAGAGCTCTAAGCCCGCAGGGATGGGCTGCAGTCATGCTAATATTCAGGGCTGTTTGCTCAGGTCTGTCGAGCTGAATGCAGAGTAATAAAGCTTTACCCTTTTCCTCTCACTGCTGCGGGTCCTCCCTGTGCCCCACAGCAGCAAACGCTGCCTGTGAAACCCGCTGCATCGTAGTAGGTTTTGCAAGCTGCACAGAGGTGCTAGGGCTCCCGACTACCCTGTACCAGCCCCACGGCAACTCCCCTTCAAAGCTGGTGGGGACCAGACCAGGGAGGAGAGTGATTTAGGCGAGAAAAACAAGCCAGAGGAGAGCAGATGCATGCTCTCCTGTATCTGATGGGGCCACAGGCAAAGACATCCTTTGGGCAGCTGAAGAAGCAAAGTCAAAGTCATCAAGCTGGACAAACTCCCTCTGGGAGTGCTTCTCCCGATCTCAAGGAGAGGGTGGATCTGTGGAAGACTCTGTTATGGCCTTTATGTTACGCCACGAGGAAGTGAGATGATAGATGCATTGGAGATGGCACAGATCAATATTGCCAAGAGGCCTTAGAAAGCTCTGACAGCAGCCACTCCTCAATCCGACCCTGCTAAAGACACAGGCAATATGGACCACGTCAGGGCCAGCATTAGCTGCCAAAGCAGCAACGTCTGTCAACCCAGGTCCCCCGTGGGCATCCCGAACAGCCTGAGAGCGACCACAGCACTAAGGGTGAGACTAGAGCAGCCGAAACCATTGCAAGTCTAGCAGGGACGTGCCCCCAGGCTGCGGGCTGCAATGATGAACCTAGGCTGTCTGGACGTGGGAGCTGATGCCATCCTCATTCCTGAGATGTCCAGGCCTGCCTGGGCCCATCTGAAGCTGCAGCCAGGAAACTGTTGGCCCCGATCCCTGCCAGGATGCTGAGTGAACAGCTTCTGCGCAAGATGGCGCCTGCGTGAGACAACCTGTCTACACTTAACCTTCCCCTCCGCCTGCTGTCCTCTCCCCCCAGCTGGAGCGGAGCAAAGCCGAGCGGGGCGAGGGCGGTTGTGGGCTGCCCGCTGCGGGTTCAGGGCTTCCTGCCCTGCTGCCTTTCCCTTGGGAGCCTCATGCTTGCCCAGCAGCGGGGGGGGCACAAGTCGCTACCCCCATTGCTGCCAGGTGGGCAGGGGACATGTGGCAAAGGAAAGGCAG